CACTAATTGAGCGGTATTAATTGTTCATTCCTTTTTGTTGGTTGCAGGCATTAGAGTCTTTCTATGATCAATTCGATCCTGATTTTATCAACATCAGGACAAAGGCACGTGAGGTTTTACAACGAGAAGATGATCTCAATGAAATTGTCCAAGTACGTCTTTATTTCTTGTTATGTGGATTAGGTTCTCCAATCCCAAAAACAGAAACCATTTCATCTGTTAGTATGATAAGTCCTATAGAACGTGTAAATTTCAGGAGTAGGGTGACATTTTAGGCTTTGTAATATCAGATCGATATCTGGTTCGAAAGATGTCCAAGGTTTAGCTGATATATGGATAGTTGGATGGTCCTAAACTGATATCTGTGGTTAATCAGCTTGTAGGAAAGGATGCTTTGGCTGAAGGAGATAAGATCACCTTAGAGACTGCAAAGCTCTTGAGGGAGGATTATCTTGCACAGAACGCATTTACTCCGTGAGTGGATAGATATGACAAGTATGTTCCTTTTAGTTTTTGGTTGGGCCTGGTAAGCTTACTCATCTGTTACATGTTTTTCATGGGTGGATAGATATGACAAGTTCTGCCCATTCTACAAGTCCGTCTGGATGATGCGGAATATCATCCATTACTTTAATCTGGCCAATCAGGTGAACTATTTGTCCATTTATTTACCTTTCCTGTTATGACCTACCATTTCTGCGTTAGCAATATCTTTGGGATGTCTAAAGAATTATTATCTAGGTTGATAAAAAAATTTATTTTCAACTTTTTACTGCAACCAAGCTTTCTATCATACATATATAACTTATGAGTTCACCTTGGAGTTGCTAATTGAATCAGCAATGGTCGTCGGCCCTTTACTGATTTTATGTGGTGCTCAATATGCAGGCTGTAGAGAGAGCTGCAGGCATGGATGGTCAAAAGATAAGTTACAGCCTAATCAAGCACCGTTTGGGAGATCTCTTTTACCGCCTAGTGTAAGTAACTTCATAATGCTGAACAACAGGAAACGTTTCAAATCTTATTGGTCTTAACCCTCTTACCTGTTACACGCAGGTCTCAAAAGTTTGAGGATCCAGCTGAAGGGGAAGAAGCTCTTGTGGCAAAATTTAAGAAGCTACACGAGGACCTCACAAGTGGTTTCCGTGCTCTTGAGGATGAAACCCGGTGATTGAACATCTCCAAACAATGGGTTTAAGGTTATTCGAGTGGCTATTATAAATCGCATGGTCCGTGGAATTGTTTTTGTTGTGCACGAAGAAGGACAGTGTTAGGGTTTTTTATGCCACTCCGGCTTTGCTCATGTGGCACTTGCTCTAGTTGGAATGTGTAGCTATAGTTTCAGTTATTATATTCCTGTCATTTCCTTGGGGTTTTTGCCCAGAATAAGAGACTAAATGCCATTCCTTATTTGTGCAGTTAAACAATAAGGTATTTGTATCATTACGAGTTTTCGGTTCCTTTGACAGTTTCACTTGTCTCTTTAGAATCTTCATTTTTATGAATCGCCGAGTCGACAAAACGGTCATTCTTCAGAGACGGGCTACCCGAAAAGCAGTTTACTTTGAGCCAAGTAATGACATTGAGATGGCCACACGAAGGTTTAGAGGAAGAAGCGGAAGTCAGAAGACCCTAAAGACGGAAATGAGATTGAGCTCATTCCAGCAGCAGCAGCTTTCCCTTAAAGACTGAGCTTCCCACCAACGACATTCTCATAGGACGACATGTTGGTGTCTATAAGATAAAAAAAACACAAAGTTATGCACATAAACAGGAGAGCAATGAACTAAAACAGTAAGCATCCGCGGCAGAGAGCAATCATAAGTATCAAACTGTCCCAATCTCCCACTGACAAGGGAAAAAAAAAAAAAAAAAAACCCTCTACTTCCAGGTAATTGAGTCGCAGCAGCATCATATTTACTCTCATCTAAGAACCCATCAAACCAAAAGGGGACTAAGTTAAGCAAAATTACTACAAATCATTCCTCGGGTGAATATTGAGACAACCCCAAGATTAAAGATTCTACCTCAAGAGTGTTTTATTCCAAGTTTTACGATTCAACCATCGAACCGCCAAAGGAATGGGAATGGTTCGGATTCGACTTCTCTCCGATATGGACCCGGAAGACTCCGATTTCTGGGTTTTTGATCTCATATTTTTAACCCGCTTTCAAATCGACCGGCCATTTATAACCAAGACCCAATTTTTCAAAATTTAAGCAACTTGAATTGAACGATATATCTTCATTCTTACGTCACGTCCTGTTTCAATAGTATAATGTCATATATAGCAAAATTTACACATTAATTTTATACTGTTGGATTGAAGATGTCACGCTGGTAGTGACATGTAAGTACATTTTTTGGGCAGGCCTCTGGTTCTTAATCTTAAGCATTATGATGATTTTAATTCCAAGAGACGCTGGTTATGTTAGTTGGTTAAGGTGACGTGTTAGTTTTTTTTCTTTTTTCGTAGGTAGTTTGGAATCTCTTGTATCATAAATTTTCTTTATTAATACTAGGAAAGTGACTTACATGGATTGAGTACACTACCACAGTGGCGTCTCGTGCCAATACTATAATGTCATGTGAAGAAACACTTCCACTAATAGTCGTGTTATTAACACGAGATACCACTGTGACAATATATTTGTGTCATGTAAATCTTACAATAAAAAGTTATCCTTACTGTGTTGGTTTTTTTTATTTTATTTTTATTTTTATTTTAACTGGGATGAATTGGGATTTATTTTTCCCTTTTTATTAGAACTTTATGGTGCTTTTAAGTTTCTCCTGATGAATTCAGACTTGACGTACGTTTCCCTTTTCATGGCGTTTTGTTTTCCCTTTTAGTTGGGATTCCTGCTTCAAGTAGAGTTATTTTGTTTACTATATAAACATGCATGCGTTTGAGATGCATGCAATTGCATACAGTCGTTAAATCTTCAGACGCTTGTATTCACCGACCTCTCTCTCTCTCACGCAGAAAAAAGCATGAGTAGTGATCGCCAGAAGCTTCATTATGTTGGTTGTTCATGCATGGGATGTTGGAAGAAGCTGTTGAAAGTGGTGATTCTGATGGCGTGCTTAACAAATCTCCCTTCAGAGAGGTAGGGAAGTTGGTTCTGGGCGTGACGGACGACTTCGATCCACAGACACTCGTCGCGGAGCTTAAAAATTTACACCAAGTCAAGACGATAGAGCTATGGAATCAAAAGGATTCAACAAACAGTCAAGTCGAACTCAACAACGAACTCAAGATCATGGGTGCTGGTGAGACTAGTAAAAGTGGTGGCAGAAAAGGAGGTGGTGGGTTGTTTGGATGGCTTAGTAGAAGAATATGTAAACAAATAATGGGTTGCACCGCTAATGCTAACAAAATTAAACCGGTGCTTTTAAGAAGTAGAACTGAAAGATGGGGTGGTAGCAACAATGGTGTTGTGATTGGTGACGACGATGAAAACGAAAGCGAACATGTTGGTGGACACGAAATTAATTGAGCAAGGCTGAGAAGAAGTAGAAGCGAAAGACGGGGTGGTGGCGATGATAGAGATGTGCAACGAATGCGTCATATAGGTCGAATGGGGAAGACGGAACAAACGGAGCAAGCAGAGCGGATGCACAAGATGTCGCAAGAGTTGGAGGAATCTGACGAGGAACCTGAAGTTAGCCTAGTGCATAGAAGTAGAACTAAAAGGCAGCGTGGCAACGATGCTAGTGATTGCTGACGATGGGAAGAAAGGCAAACGTGACAAGGACCGCGAAATTAGCCACAGAACTAGCAGAAGTAGGACTAAAAGGAGGGGTGGCGACGATGGTGTTCTGATTGGTGATGATGGAAACATAGGAAAACATGTTGAGGAGCATGGAGTTAAACAGGTACCTTTTCAAACAGGTACCTTGACAAAACGGAATCGCCGGCCGGCTGGTTGCCCGATTCACCAACATTAAACACAAGACGACTATAGTTTCGTTAATTTTTCCCTTTGCAATTTTAGTTATTTTCAATTTTTCCTGATGATATTGGATTTTGTATTATTTCCTTTCTAGGGTGTTGTGTTTTCGTCCTCAAGAATCCTCTCTCAACTAGAGTAATATTAATATATTATGTTTACTATATAAAGAATTGTTGACATGCATTTGATAAATTCGTATTTTACGATCACCAAAACTCGTAGCTCAAGCAATCCTATCTCTCTAAGGCAAAAATGAAGCTTTATTTCATTGCTCTCAAGTTGAATTTCATCTGTTCATGCAATACTTGTAGGCTAAAAGTAAGCGACGTGCCGGAGCAAATCGATGGCGTGAATGATTTTGAGATAGATGCAGTTACAGATAAGTTGGATGTGCTAGCAGCAGACAACGTCGTACCTTATAAGGACTAATAAGCACTTAGTCACAACCACTCTTCAGGACTGAATATCTTACGGTAATGGCATCCCTCTAAGACTGAAAATTTTAGTATCATCCTCTTTCTCAATGATACTCATAGTCATGCCATTCCATCTGTGTGTGCAGTTTTAGGGACAAAAATGATACTCCTAGACATTAAGACATTGTATTTCACAAAACAACAATTTTTACATTCTAGTTATCACTAACAATTGAGCCTTGTGCGATGTTGCTGGTTTTAAATCGATAAGGTGTTCTTTTAGCAATATTCAAGATGTTCTTCCAAATATTCATAAGCCATATTAATTGACAAGTTGGAGAAAACTGAAAGGCCAGCAGTAAATTTGATGAAGAGCAAGGAGACATACGTTAACGAGGAAAAAATTCCCAAAAGAATTATTGACAAAATATGAAAGATGTTTATTTGTCCAAAGATTTAGTCTGCGTTGCCACAAGAATGTTAAATGGATTATATGTATTGTGTGTGGCTACATAGAAACACTTTTCATAAAATATATAGTTGATAACTATCATCTACAACATAAAACAATATAGCAACATAAGAAAGGGTAGAAAACAAACATTAAATTTGCCATTACCCAATCATGTACTTGATCACATACCAAGTTAGTGAAACTAACATTATTAATCTATAAGATTAAAAATCTTAAGGAAAACAAATGTTGAGTTAGTAGTAGTCTCACATAGCAATCTCTAACAAAAAGTTGAAAATAAAAATGTAAACGCATGTCTGAATCAGTATCAATCTTCTTCCTCAACAAAAAAAAGTTCCAGCTTTTCTTGCAAAAACACACATAACCTAATGCTCAGTTTTCCCAAAATTAAAACCAAATGGTGCTGCTGCTGGTGTTGGTGGCCAAGCACTGAAAACTGGAATTCGTCCATTAAAAGTCCAACTAAACAACCCTGCAAAGCAACTAAACTAATTACAGCAACTTTACCCAAACATAAATACAACAGTTACACAAACCCTACAATCAAAGGTCTAATTTTCAACTAAATAAAACAAACCCATTAATAATTTCAGTGTCATCCAAAATCACAAATACACAAATCTAAAATAGAGACTTTAAAGAGCTATTTGAAATTAATGTCATGTATGATTCTAAATTTCTAATTATAATGGAAATGAAATAGAAAATTTATTCATTTAAACACTGCATGAACAACACAACACTATCACGCCACAAATTCCAATTGCAATGATACATGCTTGATCACACAAACTTTTTGTTCAGCAATCTGATTACGAAACAACCAACTAATTAAACACCTAATGATAGGGTTCAACATTATTTGTTGCAGGTATTAGTATGCATTAGCATTTATAAGAAGTAATGACCAAAGAATATGGTCTTGTGTCAATTCAAGCTATTAGCGACACTAATATATATCTTTAATGGGTTAAACTTCGACTCAAAATCAACCTCAACACCACCTAATCCTGTTACCACCTAAGCCGGGGCAGACGGTCGACAGTGCATAACAGAAATGCCAACTCAACCTAATGGTATGATGTGTCCAATGAAAAATTCTATCGCAAACAACTCAGCAGAGTTGCTCTATATAGTTCATGTAACATGAAGTTAAAAACAGAATTCATTGATGTATTATACTTCCCAACTATGTTTTTTCAGAAACCTATAATGTTTCATACATTTGAGTATAGTTCGATATCAAATGTAACAACTTACACTCAGACAAAACAAAAATGCACCAAAACCCTCCATGGACTTTTCCTTTCTCCATGTTGCAGCGATAGTCTTAGAGCTCTCACAACATCACAGATGCATGACCGAGAGTGTATTCGACAACCTTGTCTCTAATCCTTTTCATCAGTTGGTCCTAAAACAACTCTATTCTTTTAAGTTCATCTTCTTTTTCGGTATCAACACCAATGTTCTAAGAAACTAGCCTAGAGCGCCTCCAAGGCTGGGCGTGAGAGTTGCCGCCTCAGTTTCGTGGGAGTGGGCGGAGGCGTCGCTGGAGCGCAGGGCGTTCATCTGGGCGTTTTTTCTTCAAAATCCAAGTTTTCTGAAATGTTTTTCTGCCGTATGCCACTGAAGCTCAAGGGAAAATTTTATAGGACGGCAATAAGGCCGGCGATGCTGTATGGCATAGAATGTTGGGCGGTGAAGCATCAACACGTACACAAAATGGGTGTAGCGGAGATGAGGATGCTTCGTTGGATGTGTGGGCACACGAGAAAGGATAAGATTAGGAATGAGGATATCCGGGGTAAAGTAGGAGTAGCCGAAATTGAAGGAAAGATGAGAGAAAATCGGTTACGGTGGTTTGGACATGTGCAAAGAAGGCCTACTGACGCTCCGATTAGAAGATGCGACTATGGGACAGAGGTTCAGGGCCGAAGGGGTAGAGGAAGACCCAGGAAAACTTTGAGAGAGACCCTAAGAAAAGACTTAGAGTACTTGGATCTAACGGAGGACATGACACAGGACAGAACACAATGGCGTTCTAAGATTCATATAGCCGATCCCACTCAGTGACTTGGATTTTCCAAGTCTCCAACCGAGAAGTTGTCCTCGCTCGGGAAATTAAGGGAACACTACCTCAACCTACATGCTCCACTCACAAAGCTCCAACATACAAGCTTCAACAAAAGAAAATTCAAAGAACTTAGCGAAGAAGGCTTTGGTGATTTAACACAATACGTTGAAATGAAGGAAAGCCTATTTATTGATATCCCCGATAAATTACAAATATGTACATATACTTGAGTCAAAATAAACAAACAAGAGGGAGCCTTCACAAAGGTTGCTTAGGAAAAGTCTCGGCAGTCGGTAGAGCCCCAGAAAGAGAAGGCACCAGAGGGGGATCATTCGGAGCCTCAGTACTGGACAGAACCCTAGAAGGAGGAGGCATCAGAGGTTGATCATTTGGTGCTTCATTACGCGGTACAACCCCAGAAGACGAAGGCAATAAATGCCTTTGGAACAAACCCACAAATCTCTGATGATCAAGTAAAACCTGACCATCAGATTCCTTCATCTGGTCAAGCTTCCTCTTCATGTTTGTAGCATAGTCATGTGCGAGCCGGTGCAACTGTTTATTCTCATGCTTGAGCCCTCTAATCTCCTGTTTGAGACTCATCACTTCAGCCGCCAATGATTCAACTTGGCGGGTTCGAGCAAATAGGCGTTGGGCCATATTAGACACAGAACCTGCACACTGAACACTAAGAGCCAGAGAATCCTTAACAGCCAACTCATCAGACCGTTTGGAAAGTAGTCTGTTATCTTTGGGAGTGAGAAGGTTCATGGCCACTACCGCAGCGGTCATATCATTCTTCATCACGGAATCCCCAACGGTAAGAGGACCAGTAGGGGAGACGAAGGATGGGCGCCATATGTTGTCTGGAGAAGGCGGGGCTGCCTCTTCAACAAGGTTCAAGTCAAAACGACGGTCGGAGGGGCCATACATTTTCAAAGGTGTAGAAGAGAGAAGAGGTCGGACAAATCAAGATCTTAGAAGTGCAAGAATGGAGCTTCTACTGGTGGATATTCAAGTGTGCTTTGGAACTTCATGTCAACCTCTATAAAAATCTGCACTCGACGAAGCTTCAGAAATCGAAGAGGCGTTTGCTTTCTCAAAAGCTGGGTTGCTCAGAGACCACGAGGGTCGATCTCAGAAATCGAAAAGGCGTTTGCTTTCTCAAAAGCTGGGCTGCTCAAAGACCACGAAGGCCGATCTCAGAAATCGAAGAGGTTTGCTTTCTCAAAAGCTGGGCTGCTCAGAGACCACGAGGGCCGATCTCAGAAATCGAAGAGGTTTGCTTTCTCAAAAGCTGGGCTGCTCAGAGACCACGAGGGCCGATCTCAGAAATCGAAGAGGCACCTACTTTTCCAGCCTTGTCAGCACCTGTGACACGCACACTCAGCTTTGCGGAAATTATGGGCATTCTGTCGAAGATTTCTGGCGAAGTAGAAAGCACATGAATCGTACTGTTCAATCACCCACTTCCCACACGCAACAGTAGCTCATGGGTACCCACATATAACTTTGCCAAAGTTCTCTGACAAAGTTGAGACTACTTTTCCAGCCTTGTCAGCACCTGTCACACGCACACTCAGCTTTGCGGAAATTATGGGCATTCTGTCGAAGATTCCTGGCAAAGTAGAAAGCACATGAATCGTACTGTTCAATCACCCACTTCCCACACGCAACAGTAGCTCATGGGTACCACATATAACTTTGCCAAAGTTCTCTGACAAAGTTGAGACACGTGAAGCTTGCAACTCTCACTACATCGCTCTGACCAAGAAGGGTAAAAGAATAGCAAAGAAACAACACTAACAAAGTTTAGACACATAAATTTTGAAGGCCTAGCTACCATATTAATACCCACAAGGGTAAAGGAACAGTACCACTGCTGGATAATTGGAAAGTCCCGGTGTGTCAACCTCTGTGCTTCGTGGCAAGGTAGACCAGCAAACATGCCCAACCTTTACTCACATTTGAGAAAACACTCCCAACAAGATTGCTTGCCCCAAAATCGAAGAGGCATCGCCCTCCGAATCTCGAGAGCCAGACTCCCAACATGATTACTTTCTCAAAAATCGAAGAGAGGGTAAAGGAACAGTACCACTGCTGGATAATTTGAAAGTCCCTGTGTGTCAACCTCTGTGCTTCGTGGCAAGGTAGACTAGCAAACATGCCCAACCTTTACTCACATTTGAGAAAACACCCCCAACAAGATTGCTTGCTCCAAAATCGAAGAGGCACCGCCCTCCGAATCTCGAGAGCCAGACTCCTAACAGATTACTTTCTCAAAAATCGAAGAGAGGGTAAAGGAACAGTACCACTGCTGGATAATTGGAAAGTCCCTGTGTGTCAACCTCTGTGCTTCGTGGCAAGGTAGACTAGCAAACATGCCCAACCTTTACTTATATTCGAGAAAACACTCCCAACAAGATTGCTTGCTCCAAAATCGAAGAGGCACCGCCCTCCGAATCTCGAGAGCCAGACTCCCAACATGATTACTTTCTCAAAAATCGAAGACGCCGCTCTTCGAATCTCGAGAGCCAGACCCCCAGCAGGATTGCTTTCTCAAAAATCGAAGAGGCATCGTTCTCTGAATCTCGAGAGCCAGATCCCCGACAGGATTGCTTGTTCGAAAACCGAAGAGGCACCACTTTCCCAACTTCAAGAGCCGGATCTCCTTGGATAAAGCTTGTCTGTAATCTTCACACGCAACATCAGCTTTCCAGATACCACATACCACTTTTTCAAAGTGCTCTGACACAGTTAAAACTTGTGAAGCTGGCAGGTCCCACTACCGTGCTATGACCAAGCAGGGTAAAGGAATAGCATTATTACTTGATGTTAGGGAGACTCCTATATATGTCGACCTCCATCCCCAACGGACAGGCAGACCTGCAAAAATGCTCAACCCTTCCTCTTATCTGAGAGGGCACTCCCAACGAAGCCTTTCGAAATATTCAGCTTTCTTTCCCCCCGATAATACCTCTGTAAACAAGCTATACTAGAGCAAGAATATCTCATATCATCAGGGTTAAAAGCAAGAGTATCCCATATCATGCTTTTTTCCTGTCTTTTCCTTTGGCCTTGTTCTTACCTGCAAGACAAGGAGAAAAAGAGCAATCAGTCAGCAAGCTTCCAGCCAGGAACTGACTGCCTGGAACCCCTTACCTGATTACTTACGTGGCATTGCTCTCGAGTACTCATCTTCAACATCTTATGCTTCCAGGGAAGATACCGCATCTGCCTGAGGAACAGATAGGGCAAGTGAGAAGGATACAAGGAAGCATGTGGAGACAAGCGTAACAACACACGTGCCGATACATCCACTACTCTGTCAAAAGCAAAAGTATCCCATATCAGCAGGGTCGAACGTACTCTAGATTTGATGGACTTGTTTTGACCCTCAAATTCTTCAGTCGGCCTTATACTCTGGAGGAAACCAGAAAACCCTCCAGCCCAGTTCAAGAATAAGCCTGTGGAAAGTTACTTCTTCAAAAGCAAAAGTATCCCATATCATCTCTTCTCATTTTTCTTCTCTTTATCCTTCATGCTGCCTACAAGATAGGGAGAATGTGAACAATCAGCCGGAGCTCTGATTGCTTACCTTGTCTGTTACCTCTTTCAGCAGATCTCCTAGCTCGGCGACTTGGGGGACTCCTACTACATGGTTTGTATCGCGCTTGACCAAGCCTGAAACTACAAGTAAGCTTCAAGTGACATTGATACATTACCTTGTGCATCTCCACCAGTTTCAGATACCACCCCTGGATGGAGGAAGAGTACTTCCAGAGAAGATTCCACATCTACCTATGAGACAGATAAGGAAAGTCAAGACGATACCACACTCCGGTACTTAGAAGTTTCGTGGTTACGAGATCATTCTCCCACAATATTTCCTAATGTCATTTGTACTAAATCATTCACTTGTACTCCCTAAAGGAGAGCTTGAACCTATGTACTTGTGTAAACCCTTCACAATTAATGAGAACTCCTCTATTCCGTGGACGTAGCCAATCTGGATGAACCACGTACATCTTGTGTTTGCTTTCCTATCTCTATCCATTTATATACTTATCCACACTAATGACCAGAGCAATCTAGCGAAGATCACAAAAAGTGACCGTTTTCGCTACCTAGGATCTATCTTGCAAGAGAACGGAGAATTAGATGGAGATCTCAACCATAGAATACAAGCTGGATGGATGAAGTGTAAGAGTGTATCCGGCGTGTTGTGTGACCGTCGTAGGCCATTGAAGCTCAAGGGAAAATTTTATAGGACGGCAATAAGGCCAGCGATGTATGGCACAGAATGTTGGGCGGTGAAGCATCAACACGTACACAAAATGGGTGTAGCGGAGATGAGGATTCTTCGTGGGATGTATGGGCACACCAGAAAGGATAAGATTTGGGAATGAGGATATCCGAGGTAAAGTAGGAGTAGCCAAAATTGAAGAAAATATGAGAGAAAATCGGTTCCGGTGGTTTGGACATGTGCAAAGAAGGCCTACTGACGCTCCGGTTCAAAAATGTGACTACGGGACAGAAGTTCAGGGCCGAAGGGGTAGAGGAAGACCTAGGAAAACTTTGGAAGAGACCCTAAGAAAAGACTTGAGTACTTGGATCTAACGGAGGACATGACACAAAACCGAGCGCAATGACGTTCTAGGATTCATATAGCCGACCCCACTTAGTGGGAAAAGGCTTTGTTGTTGTTGTTGTTGTTGTAGGGTTGGTAAAAGCACAACTCATCCAGCAAGATGTCTGTCTATCGTACAAAGATCCACTGTCAACTATAATACCAACTGTGATTCTTCTGTCACACACTTTAGTTCCATCATACGTACGAGACCCCACCAAACCACATGCTAATTAAACTAATTAACAAAGTAAAATCATCTTTAGTCTTTAATATCCAAAGCCCGAAAAATGTTGCCCTCCCTTTGCGAACCAAATACAGAAAGAATATAACACATTTTCTATCAAAATATTATACAAATATGTACTAAATAAACCAATTTTCGAGAGGATTTAGCTGCCGCTAGCATCCAATAATTGATTTACCAATCAATTTAGAGGTTTGTCTCTGATGTAGGACAGAAATCCGATTATTTCACATGCAATAAAACTAAAAGAAGGAAACGGCGAGCAATAAATAAAAATGATTGGAGAATTGGTAATTCACGTGTTAATAGATTATTTGCTACGGTCATATCTCGAAAGTTGATGTTTTGAACTTTTCTTGTTGAATGAACGCTACTTTCATTTCTGGTGCGGTCGTAGAAGAGGTGTTCAATTCTCCCACGAAAGTGGCTAGAGCCATCTTTTACAGAAAATCATCGAAACAACAGTCTACTAATAAATGGAGTCTTTTAGGGTTTCAAGGGCATTATTATATGTAGTTATTTTCATTTTAATTTCCTAAGTCTTTTGAGTTTTCCAAAAGGTTGTAAAAGGCTTATTTAAGCCATGGCTTTGTAATCATCTAGACACTTTTCAATCAATTAATCAAATTATCCTTTGGGATTTCTATCAAACTGGTGGACTCCAGTAACTTTGTTCTGTAAGGGATTACGCTGGTAACCCTTTCATTGCTTCGTGCTGTGTCAGTCTCAATCCTAAAGCACCCGATATCATTGGAGCCTACACCAATGCTGCACATCACACTATAAACTATACGGAAAGCAAAGCAAATGACCAAAAAATTAATTAAATTAAAATCCCACAACACCGGAGGAAGAGGCGTGGAGCCTCTCCTCATCTAGAGACTGCAAAATCCAAATTCATCACATATATATTTTGCTTCTCCCACCCATAATATAATTCTGGCTCTTTAGGATATCTTCAGATGAAGAATGTGCAACAAATCTACTTAGTTCTAACTTTGAGCACACCGTGGGATTTAAAAGATATTGCATACCCATCCGGAAACCATGCAGAAGATAGAAACTGCAAAAACTTTTTTCCTCATATCCGGTTTCACCGCAAATGATGCAAGCTTCTTTTTGGCTATGTCTCTGTTACACATCACGGGATAAGGAGTACACTCTAAGAACAGACAGAAATAAAACAAACACAGAACAGACATATAACTATCATACCAAGAAGCCCCCAAACACTTACTATTGGCTTTGATATCAGTTTTACAATCAGCCTTTGATATCAATTCCACAATTTGGAATTGATATCAATCTTTTAAACCCCACAGGCTATTCATGTTTGAGAAGGCATCAGACATGACCGTCAAAATCATTACCAAGCTTAGATACTTTCAGAATACGCGAAGTGGGGCCACTTACATTCTGTATCAAAAAACCCGACTCCCTACATGTAAATATAAAGTCCTGGAATTGGATGCATGGTAATTGTTAATTCTAAAAGCGACTTAATAGACATAAACTAAAGGAGCACAAATTTGCATCTCTGCTATCGTATTAAAGTATCAATCATAATGGCCTATGAGGAGTATTTAAAAAGAATTAAATCTCAGCCAGAGACCACCAATTGGTATTCAACCTCACTTCCAGAAAATTAGTCAAGAAACAACGAGATAAAAGAGTTTCAAAAATAAGAAATATAAGCATGAAATGCTGTACAAATTCTGATAAGTTAGTCTGGGATAACAACTATCGTTTTTATGCAACACTTGGTATAAAGATAGTGTTTTTTGCACGAGTTGGTATAAAGATAGCCTGGAACTTTTCGTCCAAGTAGGTTACAATGGATTTATGATGTACCTGGTATTGTTTTTTTCAATATTGAGTGTCAATCACACAAATTCACACTTGATATTTTCCCTCACCGACACCACCTTTACAGGATTTTAATCTACAAAGTTATGCATCACCAATAATATTCCACAGAAGATATACACATTTCGTGACAATCATACATTTGATTCCTACAATATATTTCATGTCTTGCAGAAAAAATAGAAATTAAAAAAAATATATATACAACAACAACAACAACAACAAAGCCTTTTCCCACTAAGTGGGGTCGGCTATATGAATCCTAGAACGCCATTGCGCTCGGTTTTGTGTCATGTCCTCCGTTAGATCCAAGTACTCTAAGTCTTTTCTTAGAGTCTCTTCCAAAGTTGTCCTAGGTCTTCCTCTACCCCTTCGGCCCTGAACCTCTGTCCCGTAGTCACATCTTCGAACCGGAGCGTCAGTCGGCCTTCTTTGCACATGTTCAAAATCACCGGAGCCGATTTTCTCTCATATTTCCTACAATTTCGGCTACTCCTACTTTACCTCGGATATCCTCATTCCCAATCTTATCCTTCTCGTGTGCCCACACATCCCACGAAGCATCCTCATCTCCGCTACACCCATTTTGTGTACGTGTTGATGCTTCACCACCCAACATTCTGTGCCATACAACATCGCTAGCCTTATTGCCGTCCTATAAAATTTTCCCTTGAGCTTCAGTGGCCTACGACGGTCACACAACACGCCGGATGCACTCTTTCCATCCAGCTCGTATTCTATGGTTGAGATCTCCATCTAATTCTCCGTTCTCTTGCAAGATAGATCCTAGGTAGCGAAAACGATCGCTTTTTGTGATCTTCGCTAGATTGCTCCGGTCATTAGTGTGGATAAGTATATAAATGGATAGAGATAGGAAAGCAAACACAAGATGTACGTGGTTCACCCAGATTGGCTACGTCCACGGAATAGAAGAGTTCTCATTAATTGTGAAGGGTTTACACAAGTACATAGGTTCAAGCTCTCATTTAGTGAGTACAAGTGAATGATTTAGTACAAATGACATTAGGAAATATTGTGGGAGAATGATCTCGTAATCACGAAACTTCTAAGTATCGGAGTGTGGTGTCGTCTTGACTTGCCTTATCTGTCTCATAGGTAGATGTGGCATCTTCTCTGGAAGTACTCTTCCTCCATCCAGGGGGTGGTATCTTTAACTGGTGGAGATGCACAAGGTAATGTATCAATTTCACTTGAAGCTTACTTGTAGTTTCAGGCTTGGTCAAGCGCGATACAAACCATGTAGTAGGAGTCCCCCAAGTCGCCGAGCTAGGGGGTCTGCTGAAAGAGGTGACAGACAAGGTAAGCAATCAAAGCTCCGACTGATTGTTCACCTTCTCCCCATCTTGCAGCAACATGAAGGATAAAGAGAAGAAAAATGAAAAGAGATGATATGAGATACTTTTGCTTTTGAAGAAGTAACTTTCCACAGGCTTATTCTTGAACTGAGCTGGAGGGTTTTCTGGTTTTCCTCCAGAGTATAAGGCCGACTGAAGAATTTGAGGGTCAAAACAAGTCCATCAAATCTAGAGTACGTTCCACCCTGCTGATATGGGATACTTTTGCGTTTGACAGAGTAATGAATGTATCGGCACGTGTGCTGTTACGCTTGTCTCCACATGCTTCCTTGTATCCTTCGCACTTGCCCTATCTGTTCCTCAAGCAGATGCGGAATCTTCCCTGGAAACATAAGATGTTGAAGATGAGTACTCGAGAGCAATGCCAGGTAAGTAATCAGGTAAGGGGTTCCAGGCAGTCAGTTCCTGGCTGGAAGCTTGATTCCAAGTGCTGACTGATTGCTCTCTTTCTCCTTGTCTTGCAGGTAAAAACAAGGCCACAAGAAAAGACAGGGAAAAAAGCATGATATGGGATACTCTTGCTTTTAACCCTGATGATATGAGATATTCTTGCTCTAGTATAGCTTGTTTGCAGAGGTATTATCGGGGGGAAAGAAAGCTGAATATTTCGAAAGGCTTCGTTGGGAGTGCCCTCTCAGATATGATGAAGGGTTGAGCATTTTTGCAGGTCTGCCTGTCCGTTGGGGATGGAGGTCGACATATATAGGAGTCTCCCTAACAACAAGTAGTAATGCTATTCCTTTACCCTGCTTGGTCATAGCACGGTAGTGGGAGCTGCCAGTTTCACATGTTTTAACTCTGTCACAGCACTTTGAAAAAGTGGTCTGTGGTATCTGGCTCTCGAGATTCGGAGAACGATGCATCTTCGATTTTTGAGAAAGCAATCATGCTGGGGGTATGACTCTCGAGATTCGGAGAGCAGTGTCTTTTCGATTTTTGAGGAAGTAATCATGTTGGGAGTCTGGCTCTCGAGATTCGGAGGGGGCGGTGCCTCTTCGATTTTGGAGCAAGCAATCTTGTTGGGAGTGTTGTCTCGAATGTGAGTAAAGGTTGGGCATGTTTGCTAGTCTACCTTGCCACGAAGCACAAAGGTTAACACACAGGGACTTTCCAATTATCCAGCAATGGTACTGTTCCTTTACCCTCTCTTCGATTTTGAGAAAGTAGTCATGTTGGGAGTCTGGCTCTCGAGATTCGGAGGACGGTGCCTCTTCGATTTTGGAGCAAGCAATCTTATTGGGAGTGTTTTCTCGAATGTGAGTAAAGGTTGGGCATGTTTGCTAGTCTACCTTGCCACGAAGCACAGAGGTTGACACACAGGGACTTTCCAATTATCCAGCAGTGGTACTGTTCCTTTACAGTTGTGGGTAATAATATGGTAGCTAGACCTTCAAAATTTATGTGTCTAAACTTTTGTTAGTGCTGTTTCTTTGCTATTCTTTTACCTTTCTTGGTCAGAGCGATGTAGTGGGAGCTGCAAGCTTCACGTGCTCAACTTTGGCAAAAGAACTTTGGCAAAGTTATTTGTGGTACCCATGAGCTATTGTTGCGTGTGGGAAGTGGGTGATTGAACAGTAAGATTCATGTGCTTTTTTACTTCACCAGAAGTCTTCGACAGAATGCCCATAATTTCTGCAAAGCTGAGTGTGCGTGTGACAGGTGCTGACAAGGCTAGAAAAGTAGGTGCCTCTTCGATTTCTGAGATCGGCCCTCGTGGTCTCTGAGCAGCCCAGCTTTTGAGAAAGCGAGCGCCTCTTCGATTGATTCGGAGAACGATGCCTCATCGATTTTTGAGAAAGCAATCATGCTGGGGGTCTGGCTCTCGAGATTCGGGGAGCAGTGTCTCTTCGATTTTTGAGAAAGTAATCATGTTGGGAGTCTGGCTCTCGAGATTCGGAGGGCGGTGCCTCTTCGATTTTGGAGCAAGCAATCTTGTTGGGAGTGTTTTCTCGAATGTGAGTAAAGGTTGGGCATGTTTGCTAGTCTACCTTGCCACGAAGCACAGAGGTTGACACACAGGGACTTTCCAATTATCCAGCAATGGTACTGTTCCTTTACCCTCTCTTCGATTTTTAAGAAAGTAGTCATGTTGGGAGTCTGGCTCTCGAGATTCGGAGGACGGTGCCTCTTCGATTTTGGAGCAAGCAATCTTATTGGGAGTGTTTTCTCGAATGTGAGTAAAGGTTGGGCATGTTTGCTAGTCTACCTTGCCACGAAGCACAGAGGTTGACACACAGGGACTTTCCAATTATCCAGCAGTGGTACTGTTCCTTTACCCTTGTGGGTAATAATATGGTAGCTAGACCTTCAAAATTTATGGGTCTAAACTTTGTTAGTGCTGTTTCTTTTGCTATTCTTTTACCCTTCTTGGTCAGAGCGATGTAGTGGGAGCTGCAAGCTTCACGTGCTCAACTTTGGCAAAGTTATTTGTGGTACCCATGAGCTATTGTTGCGTGTGGGAAGTGGGTGATTGAACAGTAAGATTCATGTGTTTTCTACTTCCCCAAAAGTCTTTGACAGAATGCCCATAATTTCCGCAAAACTGAGTGTGCGTGTGACAGGTGCTGACAAGGCTGGAAAAGGCTGGAAAAGTAGGTGCCTCTTCGATTTCTGAGATCGGCCCTCGTGGTCTCTGGAGGAGCCCAGCTTTTGAGAAAGCGAGCGCCTCTTCGATTTTTGAGATCGGCCTTCGTGGTCTTTGAGCAGCCCAACTTTTGAGAAAGCAAACGCCTCTTCGATTTCTGAGATCAACCCTCGTGATCTCTAAGCAGCCCAGCTTTTGAGAAAAGCAAACGCCTCTTCGATTTCTGAGCAGGCGCCTCTTCGATTTCTGAAGCTTCGTCGAGTGCAGATTTTTATAGGGGCTGGCATTAAGTTCCAAAGCACACTTGAATCTCCACCAGTAGAAGCTTCATTCTTGCACTTCTAAGATCTTGATTTGTCCGACCTCTTCTCTCTTCAACACCTTTGAAAATGTCTGGCCCCTCCGACCGTCGTTTTGACTTGAACCTTGTTGAAGAGGCAGCAGCCCCGCCTTCTCCAGACAACATATGGCGCCCATCCTTCGTCTCCCCTACTGGTCCTCTTACCGTTGGGGATTCCGTGATGAAGAATGATATGACCGCTGCGGTGGTGGCCAGGAACCTTCTCACTCCCAAAGATAACAGACTACTTTCCAAACGGTCTGATGAGTTAGCTGTTAAGGATTCGCTGGCTCTCAGTGTTCAGTGTGCAGGTTCTGTGTCTAATATGGCCCAACGCCTATTTGCTCGAACCCGCCAAGTTGAATCATTGGCGGCTGAAGTGATGAGTCTCAAACAGGAGATTAGAGGGCTCAAGCATGAGAATAAACAGTTGCACCGGCTCGCACATGACTATGCTACAAACATGAAGAGGAAGCTTGACCAGATGAAGGAAACTGATGGTCAGGTTTTACTTGATCATCAGAGATTTGTGGGTTTGTTCCAAAGGCATTTATTGCCTTCGTCTTCTGGGGCTGTACCGCGTAATGAAGCTCCAAATGATCAACCTCTGATGCCTCCTCCTTCTAGGGTTCTGTCCAGTACTGAGGCTCCAAATGATCCCCCTCCGGTGCCTTCTCTTTCTGGGGCTCTACCGACTGCTGAGACTTCTCCTAAGCAACCTTTGTGAAGGCTCCCTCTTGTATGTTTATTTTGACTCATGTATATGTACATATTTGTAGCTTATCGGGGATATCAATAAATAAGCTTTCCTTCATTTCAACGTATTGTGTTAAATACACCAAAGCCTTCTTCGCTAAGTTCTTTGAATTTTCTTTTGTTGAAGCTTGTATGTTGAAGCTTTCTGAGTGGAGCATGTAGGTTGGGGTAGTGTTCCCTTAATTTCCCGAGTGAGGAAAACTTCTCGGTTGGAGACTTGGAAAATCCAAGTCACTGAGTGGGATCGGCTATATGAATCTTAGAACGCCATTGTGCTCGATCCTGTGTCATGTCCTTCGTTAGATCCAAGTACTCTAAGTCTTTTCTTAGAGTCTCTTCCAAAGTTTTTCCTAGGTCTTCCTCTACCCCTTCGGCCCTGAACCTCTGTCCCATAGTCGCATCTTCTAATCGGAAGCGTCAGTAGGCCTTCTTTGCACATGTCCAAACCACCGTAACCGATTTTCTCTCATCTTTCCTTCAATTTCGGCTACTCCTACTTTACCCCGGATATCCTCATTCCTAATCTTATCCTTTCTCGTGTGCCCACACATCCAACGAAGCATCCTCATCTCCGCTACACCCATTTTGTGTACGTGTTGATGTTTCACCGCCCAACATTCTGTGCCATACAGCATCGCCGGCCTTATTGCCGTCCTATAAAATTTTCCCTTGAGCTTCAGTGGCATACGGCGGTCACACAACACGCCGGATGCACTCTCTTCCACTTCATCCATCCAGCTTGTATTCTATGGTTGAGATCTCCATCTAATTCTCCGTTCTTTTGCAAGATAGATCCTAGGTAACGAAAACGGTCGCTCTTTGGTATTTCTTGATCTCCGATCCTCACCCCTAACTCGTTTTGGCCTCCATTTGCACTGAACTTGCACTCCATATATTCTGTCTTTGATCGGCTTAGGCGAAGACCTTTAGATTCCAACACTTCTCTCCAAAGGTTAAGCTTTGCATTTACCCCTTCCTGAGTTTCATCTATCAACACTATATCGTCTGCGAAAGCATACACCAAGGAATATCATCTTGAATATGTCCTGTTAACTCATCCATTACCAACGCAAAAAAGGTAAGGACTTAAGGATGAGCCTTGATGTAATCCTACAGTTATGGGAAAGCTTTCGGTTTGTCCTTCATGAGTTCTTACGGCAGTCTTTGCTCCTTCATACATATCCTTTATAGCTTGGATATATGCTACTCGTACTCCTTTCTTCTCTAAAATCCTCCAAAGAATGTCTCTTGGGACCCTATCATACGCTTTTTCCAAATCTATAAAGACCATGTGTAAATCCTTTTTCCCATCTCTATATCTTTCCATCAATCTTCGTAAGAGATAGATTGCCTCCATGGTTGAGCGCCCTGGCATGAACCCGAATTGGTTGTCCGAAACCCGTGTCTCTTGCCTCAATCTATGCTCAATGACTCTCTCCCAGAGCTTCATTGTATGACTCATTAGCTTAATACCCCTATAGTTCATGCAATTTTGTACGTCGCCCTTATTCTTGTAGATAGGCACCAAAGTGCTCGTTCGCCACTCATTTGGCATCTTCTTCGTTTTCAAAATCCTATTGAAAAGGTCAGTGAGCCATGTTATACCTGTCTCTCCCAAAAGTTTCCACACTTCGATTGGTATATCGTCTGGGCCTATTGCTTTTTTTATGCTTCATCTTCTTCAAAGCTACAACCACTTCTTCCTTCCGGATTCGACGATAAAAAGAGTAGTTTCTACACTCTTCTGAGTTACTCAACTCCCCTAAAGAAGCACTCATTTCATGTCCTTCATTGAAAAAGATTATGAAAAATAACCTCTCCATCTGTCTTTAACCGCGTTCTCTGTAGCAAGAACCTTTCCATCCTCATCCTTGATGCACCTCACTTGGTTTAGGTCCCTTGTCTTCTTTTCCCTTGCTCTAGATAGTTTATAGATATCCAACTCTCCTTCTTTGGTATCTAGTCGTTTATTATACATATCGTCGTAAGCCGCTAACTTAGCTTCTCTGACAGCTTTTCTTCGCCTCTTGCTTCGCTTTTCTATACCTTTCACCATTTTTCATCGGTCCTCTCCTTGTATAAGGCTTTACAACATTCCTTCTTAGCCTTCACCTTTGTTTGTACCTCCTCATTCCACCACCAAGATTCCTTTTGGTGTGGGGCAAAGCCCTTGGACTCTCCTAATACCTCTTTTGCTACTTTTCGGATACAACTAGCCATGGAATCCCACATTTGGCTAGCTTCCCCCTCTCTATCCCACACACATTGGGTGATTACCTTCTCTTTGAAAATGGACTTGTTTTTCTTCTTTTAGATTCCACCATCTAGTCCTTGGGCACTTCCAAGTCTTGTTCTTTTGTCTTTACTCTTTTGATATGTACATCCATCACCAACAAGCGATGTTGATTAGCCACGCTCTCTCCTGGTATAACTTTGCAATCCTTACAAGTTATACGATCCCCTTTCCTCATTAGAAGAAAATCTATTTGTGTTTTTTGACGACCCACTCTTGTAGGTGATCACATGTTCTTCTCTCTTCTTAAAGAAGGTGTTGGCTAAGAAGAGATCATATGCCATTGCAAAATCCAAGATAGCTTCCCCATCCTCGTTTCTCTCCCCAAAACCATGGCCACCATGAAAACCTCCATAGTTGCCTGTCTCCCTGCCCACGTGTCCATTTAAATCTCCTCCTATAAATAACTTCTCCGTCTGAGCAATTCCTTGCACCAAGTCTCCAAGATCTTCCCAAAATTTCTCCTTCGAACTCGTATCCAACCCTACTTGAGGTGCGTACGCACTAATCACATTGATAAGTTCTTGTCCTATTACAATCTTGATTGCCATGATTCTATCTCCTACCCTCTTGACATCTACAACATCTTGTACCAAGGTCTTGTCCACGATGATGCCAACACCGTTTCTCGTTCTATTTGTGCCCGAATACCAAAGTTTAAACCCTGAGTTTTCTAGATCCTTTGCCTTACTACCAACCCACTTAGTTTCTTGTAGGCACATAATATTTATCCTTCTCCTCACCATAACTTCCACTACTTCCATAGATTTTCCCGTTAAGGTTCCTATATTCCACGTTCCTAAACGCATTTTGCTCTCTTGAACTCTACCCTTCTGTCCTAGCTTCTTCACCCTCCCCCGTCTAATAGGATCAAAGTACTTCTTTTGTGTGTCCCGGGTAAAGTTGATAGGAGCATATGCTCCCAAACAACTTTGAGTGGAGTCGTTCGAAAAGAAGTTTCTATGGCCCCCTTGCTCATTTAACACTGCATCCGGGTGCCGATGGAGATACAGCGACCCTTGCTCACTTATCACTGTGCTCAGGCCACACAGCGCGCCACTTACGGGTGACGCCCTAGCTTTAGCGCGATTTTGTTCTGGATTCATTTTCATAAGGATTCGACGTGATCATGGAGTGCCGGCTGTCGACTACCTGACGCCCTCCCCCTCCTCCTTTATCCGGGCTTGGGACCGGCCATGTAAGACATAGGCGGAGTTTTAAAAAAAATATATATATATAAAAAAAATAAAAACACACACAAAGATAAAAAGAGTACCTCCTACTTTCCCTGCAGCTGCTCTTCAAAAGTCAAAAAGCTTCAGATCCTAAGTACCAAGCAAATATTGAAGTGATTCAATAATTATAAAAAAAAATGAACCATGCATGGAACAAAACTTAGAAATTAAACAATTATCAAAGCTTGTGAAGAATGCTAAATCCAACTAATTCTAGACATAAAGTAACCCGAAAGAGATAAAACTTATCAATTCTATAAAAATTCTCACCCTTTAGAGAAAATATCCAATATCCAATTAACCTAATTGTATTAAAACCTAGCAAATCTCCATTGAATTAAGCACAGTTCGCACTAAATTATCCATCTTTTCTTTTCACAGTAAATTAAGGATAAGACCATGAGCATGTAAATCTGGACCACTACGACCAAAATTCCAGCAATCAATAACCATAATTATAAATTTTGACAAACTTACAATTGCTACAGTGTTTGACAATGATCAGACAAAAACTGAATCTTTCGTGAAGCCGCAGATATTCAATCAGAAAAAATGAATAATCGAAATAGTTGACTAAATTTATGGAAGAAAGAGAGAAGAGGGGAATGGAGGAGAACAGCAGCAAGGAGACGAAATCAGATTCAGAGTTTGAGAGTCAATTGCTAAATTTGGATGAACTGACCTTTTCAATGTGAAACAGGCCATCAGCTCCCCAGCAACCTCTCAATCACCGACAGTTGGAAGCCTAAATTAGTAGTTAGCTGTCAGATCTCACTCACTCTCTGCAGGCATGGGCCTCCTCCTCAATTTCCGTCATCTCTCTCTCTCTCTCTCTCTCTCTCTGCAACGGCATGGCTCACAGCCACATTATCTGCGTGAGGCCTTCCCCCATCTCTCTACCCTCAAATCATGCACCCAACTCCCTCTCTTTCTCTCCCCCAAATGATGCCGTGAAACCCTCTTTCTCTCCCCCAATTCGTGCAAGAAATCTCTCTCCCTCTCTCTCTCTTCCAAAGGAGCTGTTTCCCAGGCCCAAATGTAGCGGCCCAATCCGGGTGTTTTGGCCGAAGCACATCCCACACACACAATGGCAGCTTTGTAATTAAAGCAAAATAGAGACCCCATTCCATAGGCAACATGAATAGTGCCAATTCGGAACTCTACTTTAGACTAAAGTAATTAAACATAACATCTACAACTCTCTTACAAAACACAATCTTAAAATGGTATCCTCAAAAGAACTAGTATCCAGACTCAAATCAGCATGCATGTTGTTGCCAACAAGTAACCAGTTGCAAATATTCAAGAGTTATTCATAGTTAGCAAGCATAGATGTAAAAGACTCAAATCAGCAAGCACGTTGTTGCCAACAAGTAACCAGTTGCATTTCCTGTAAAAACAAAGAATAAACTGTTTAAACATTCAAGAGTTATTCGTAGTTAGCATACATGTAAATACAAGACCAATAGTTGCATTTCCTTACTAACCTTTGGGCCTCTTGTGGTTTTGCTTTGAGTGCAAGACTGATTCGCATCCTTCCTCTCCCAATGGCCTGCAACCGAGAAAGGCAGTGACGCCACAGAGAACCAATGGACTGAAGCTTATTGTAGAGAACTCTATATGTTCAGAAGTTCCATATTAACCTACACAGTACAGTATAAATCAATGGTGACATAGTTGTTTGTCGCAATTGAAATGATTGAACTATTGTGATTTCAAGGTTCCTCTTACTAAGGAAGTCACAGACTCTCTTAGAGCATCTTCATTTTCATGCAAGCTTGATATAAAGGCAAGAAACATGCTTAGAGACCACTCATTAAATTCTTGCTTATAGCTTGGGAATCATATTTGTTTTCACATATCTTGGTCGCAATGAATCAATACTATAGTAACAGTATCAAGTTACACATTGTACGTCGACAAAGAACAATTCTTACATCATGTTTATTCACCAAACATATAAGATTCAATTTCCATGAATCATGAAACTTGTAGTATACCGTATGATATTGCTTCCACTTAAAAATACAACACAGCATCAAAGAATTTGCAAAAGAAAAAACAAAAACACCGGCAGAAGACTCAATTTATAATCGGGTTAAGAGTGCGCACCACATAGAACCATTGTAGGTATAGAGACCAAATTATAACCAAAGTTTGAAAATGCCTATACCAACATATGTGTGGAATTAGGAAAAAAAAATGGCAGGATTTGGCAATTACATATGTAAAAACATAATGTGATTTTAAACCTAGACAAATCTTCCAATCTGAAAACAAACAAAGGTAAACAAGTGAGTATTAATTATATTTTCCAGAATAGCATTGCCAAGTATATCATCTAGAAAGAATTGAAGATACGAAAACTTCTATGAAGGAATTGAACTTTGGCAGTTCAGTGAAAAGCAACGGTATCTATAAAACACAATAGAACCAAGCATATTATACAAAAGTATAATCTTTAGGGAATATGTATCAAATCCTTAACTGGAGGTCATTACTACTCTGTACCACAACAAAGATGAAAAAGAGTTTCAATGAATTATTGGGGGGTCAACACCGTCTTTCTGTAAAGTGATACACGACGAGGAGTAATCGATGTGTTAATCAAAAGTGGAGACACTCACAAAGCAGATAGATATGAAGCCCAATTGCTCTGTTGGTATGAAGTTGGGAGTATAAGTCTATCCCCAAAAGCCGACGCACCTGCTCAAGTCAAATGGTTAACACTGTTCTCCCGCGTTCTCATTGGGCATCCATAACCCCACAATAACTAGGTCATGACCTACATATATCGATATTCACAAAGGGATAAGCATACTTCAAAATGAGGAAATCACAAGGTGATAACTAGAAAGCACCTTCAGAAACTTTGCAGAAATCTGATGATTAAAACTCACAACTTCAATAAACTGGGCAAACTAATGCTAATATTTGTAGGATTGTTGACCACGTAGATAACCCCAAACTAAGCAACCCTGACGAGTATAGGAGCCAGCTGCCAGAGACAAACATACAGTGAATCATAGTGATATGAATCATCAACTAAAAGAAGTGAAGAATGAACACACTCCTGAGTTTTACCCCTTCCCTTTGCTCCAATAAATTGTGCAAGATAAATGAGATGTACCCCTCTAAATGTTATAAATTTGTAAAATTATAAGGCGTGGTACATTTTTCCCGAATTACAAATAAACAAGCTCCCCTTTTCGGGGAAAAAATGAACACAAATAAACAAGTTTCTCTTTTATTTGTTAGATTATTATTCTATTCAAATCTATTTTGTGCTCCTAATAAGTAATAATTGAAACAATAAGTGAAACCCACACGATTTTAGGAATGAGAAACAAGCTTTTGTTTGGAGAAATCACAACTAGCATCTTTTAGGTTATAGCATTTGATAAACGAGTTTTTTTTTTATTTATTTATTTTTTTTGAAATAAAAAAAAGCGAACAACCAACAACCCAAATATCCAAAATAAATTCTTAAATTCAAATTGACTGTTTTAAGAATTAATCCCAAAGGCCAAAGGCAATTCAAAGATAACCAATTAGACAGGAAAGAAATTGAAGTTACAAGAATTACCTTTAGCATGCTAGATGAAATACCATTTAAACTGTCAATTCCAAGAGAAGACATTGAAGAGGCAAATCTTAACCACTATAAATCTCAAGCCATTGAAGCAGCCACATCATAAACATCTTCAGAGCCAGATGTCTCCACAAATCGATCAGTTTCTGAAGTAACATCTGAAAATGCAATTAGGCCATCATCTACTTTCATGCCTTCGGCAACTTCATCAGAAAGTAATTCTTGCACTACTTTAGAAGATATCAAACCCAAACTTCTCATCTCAATCCATAGTTCAATAACTGAATTAGAATGATATGGTCTACAGAGGAATTTTGATAATCTCAAGAAAGTATTGGAGCTCAGTTCTACTTTTGCTTCTATCATCTCTTGTAGCATTAAATTAACCATATTAAGATCTCTTTCTTTAACAAAACCAGAGACCATTACATTGTATGTATGTACAGTAAGAGCCAAGCCGACCTCCTTCATATGGCAATAGAGTGACCAAGCCTCTCCAGCTCTACCACCCATAAAGAGCCCTATAATGGCAACTGTGTATGCTGCAACATCAAGGGTGTAGCCCTCTTCAACTGCTTTTCTAAACACTCTAATGGCCGCATTAAATTTACGGACCTTTATAAGCCCATCCATGACCACAGTATGAATATAAGCATCCTGTCCAGGGAAACTCTGGAGAATCCCATGATACGCATCAACTGCTTCGTCAACTCTTCTTGCCTTGCATAACCCATCTACTAATCCAACAAAAGTATACTTATCTGGGGTAAGGCCTTTATCAAGCATATCATTATAAAACTTTACAGCAAGAGACGGAAACCCGGCTTTACAAAAATAACAGAGAAGTGAGTTTCATAGCAATAAGTCAGCTTCTATGTCAAGTCCACGAACCAACTTGGGTAACATATCAAACCTCCTAGACAAACACAAGGTGGATAATAATGAAGAGACAGTACAAGAATCAGGAGCCAAGTTCCGTGATTGCATGCTAACAAAAACATCAATGGCATCATCACACCTCCCAGCTTTGGCAAAGGAATCTATTAACACATTACAAAGAACGAGGTCAAGGGCATATCCTTTGGATTCCATAATATTTAGAATATTGAATGCTTCACTAACCATATTAGATTTTAAAAATCCCCTGATTAAAGTTGTGTACGTTACAATACTAGGTGAAGAACCAGTCTCAACCATCTTCTCCAATAACTTACCAGCCACATCAAGTCTCTGCAACCGACAAAACCCATTCATCAACATACTCCAAACATTTACAGACACAGCGCTACCCAAAGTAATCAATAGACCCAAAACTTGATGCGCCTCCACTATTTTACCCATTTTGCATAAACAGCTCAAAATCATCTCAAATGTCTCCACTTTGGGGTGATATCCCCATCGCAACATCATTCTAAACACATCTCCAATGTGATATAAATCATTGATATTACATAAATTACACAGTGCAATGTTAAAAGTCAAAAAATTTGGCCTTCGGGTCTCTTTCAGAAACTTAATAGCTAAATCCACATGCCCAATTTTGAACAACGCATCAATGATTATGTTACGAGCAAATGTGTTTGGAGTAAAGCCATAAGTACCCATTAGCTCAATAGCCTCAAAGACCATTGTATACATTTCGCCACGCCAATAAATCCTCAACAACAGCAAAAATGTTTGAGATTTTACAACACACCCCATGCTCTCTAGTTCCCTAATAACCAATTTAACGGTTCTGTATTGTTCCATCACGCGCTTGATCACACCAACCATGTGATCAATCACAATCTTACTGTGAAAAAAATTATGTTGTCCGGCACACCACAAGAAGAATCTCAATGCAATCAAATCAGAAGGGCAGTTCAATAAAGTGGAATGCACAACTTGATGATTGAGTTTACTTGTTTGTCGGTCAAAAAGTTTCGGGAAATTTTCTTGGGTTTTGTTAGTTGGACACATCTTTGGTGATGAAAAGTGGCAGATAGGCAGCATGCGCAGTGCTCTGATGATTTGGGTTGGCCCTCTGGGCACAAAACAATACCTAAATCTCCATACTATTTCCATGAATCAGTATCAATCTTCTTTCTCAACAAAAAAGTTCCAGCTTTTCTTGCAAAAACACACATAACCTAGTGCTCAATTTTCCAAAAATTATAACCAAATGATTCTGCTGCTAGTGTTGGTGGCCAAAGCACTGAAAACTGGAATTCGTCCATTAAAAGTCCAACTAAACAACCCTGCAAAGCAACTAAACTAATTACAGCAATTTTACCTAAACATAAATAGAACAGTTACACAAACCCTACAATCAAAGGTCTAATTTTCAACTAAATAAAACAAACCCATTAATAATTTCAGTGTCATCCAAAATCACAAATACACAAATCTAAAATAGAGACTTTAAAGAGCTATTTGAAATTAATGTCATGTATGATTCTAAATTTCTAATTATAATGGAAATGAAATAGAAAATTTATTCATTTAAACACTGCATGAACAACACAACACTATCACGCCACAAATTCCAATTGCAATGATACATGCTTGATCACACAAACTTTTTGTTCAGCAATCTGATTACGAAACAACCAACTAATTAAACACCTAATGATAGGGTTCAACATTATTTATTGCAGGTATTAGTATGCATTAGCATTTATAAGAAGTAATGACCAAAGAATATGGTCTTGTGTCAATTCAAGCTATTAGCGACACTATATATATCTTTAATGGGTTAAACTTCGACTCAAAAATCAACCTCAACACCACCTAATCCTGTTACCACCTAAGCCGGGGCAGACGGTCGACAGTGCATAACAGAAATGCCAACTCAACCTAATGGTATGATGTGTCCAATGAAAATTTCTATCGCAAACAACTCAGCAGAGTTGCTCTATATAGTTCATGTAACATGAAGTTAAAAACAGAATTCATTGATGTATTATACTTCCCAACTATGTTTTTTCAGAAACCTATAATGTCTCATACATTTGAGTATAGTTCGATATCAAATGTAACAATGTACACTCAGACGAAACAAAAATGCACCAAAACCCTCCATGGACTTTTCCTTTCTCCATGTTACAGCGATAGTCTTAGAGCTCTCACAACATCACAGATGCATGACCAAGAGTGTATTCGACAACCTTGCCTCTAATCCTTTTCATCAGTTGGTCCTAAAGCAACTATATTCTTTTAAATTCATCTTCTTTTTCGGTATCAACACCAGTGTTTTAAGAACCTAGCCCAGAGCGCCTCCGAGGCTGGGCGTGAGAGTTGCCGCCTTAGTTTCGCAGGAGTGGGCGGAGGCATTGCCGGAGCGCGTCTAGGAGGCAGAGGAGCGACTCAGGGTGATCTTGGCGTTTTTTTTCTTAAAAACCCAAGTTTTCTGAAATGTTTTTCTGCTGTTCTAGTTTCAACGAAGAAGAAGGAGAGACTTTCTCTCTCCAAATCCCATAAATTTCAATAATAATTGCTCCACTCAGCCTTTATTTCATTTTAAGTTCCCTACAATGAACACACACACACACACACACACTCACACACACCAAACACACCAAACACAAAACACTTACCCAGTTGGAAATGATTTTTGCATATATAGGCAAAAGACAGCATGATTCAAATATAATTTTATTAGGGTTGGTTGGTAAAAGCACAACTCATCCAGCAAGATGTCTATCGTACAAAGATCCACTGTCAACTATAATACCAACTGTGATTCTTCTGTCACACACTTTAGTTCCATAATACGTACCAGACCCCACCAAACCACATGCTAATTAAACTAATTAACAAAGTAAAATCATCTTTAGTCTTTAATATCCAAAGCCTGAAAAATGTTGCCCTCCCTTTGCAAACCAAATACAGAAAGAATATAACACATTTTCTATCAAAATATTATACAAATATGTACTAACTAAACCAATTTTCGAGAGGATTTAGCTGACGCTAGCATCCAATAATTGATTTACCAATCAATTTAGAGGTTAGTCTCAATCCTAAAGCACCCGATATCATTGGTGCACCAATGCTGCACATCACAATATAAACTATACGGAAGGCAAAGCAAATGACCAAAAAATTAATTAAATAAAAATCCCACAACACCAGAGTAAGAGGCGTGAGCCTTGCCTCATCTAGAGACTGCAAAATCCAAATTCATCACATATATATTTTGCTTCTCCCACCCATAATATAATTCTGGCTCTTTAGGATATCTTCAAACGAAGAATGTGCAACAAATCTACTTAGTTCTAACTTCGAACACACCGTGGGATTTAAAAGATATTGCATACCCATCGGGAAACTATACAGAAGATAGAAACTGCAAAAACTTTTTTCCTCTTATCCGTTTTCACCGAAAACGATGCAAGCTTCTTTTTTGCTATGTCTCTGTTACACATCACTGGATAAGGAGTACACTCTAAGAACAAACAGAAACAAAACATACACAGAACAGACATATATAACTATCATACCAAGAAGGCATCAGAAATGCCCGTCAAAATCATTACCAAGCTTAGATACTTTCAGAGTACGTGAAGTGGGGTCACTTACATTCTGCATCAAAAAACCCGACTCCCTACATGTAAACATAAAGTCCTAGAATTGGACGCATGGTAATTGTTAATTCTAAAAGCGAATTAATAGACATAAACTAAAGGAGCACAACTTGGCATCTCTGCTATCGTATTAAAGTATCAATCATAATGGCCTATGAGGAGTGTTTAAAAAGAATTAAATCTCAGCCAGAGACCACCAATTGGTAATCAACCTCACTTCCAGAAAATTAGTCAGGAAACAATGAGATAAAGAGCTTCAAAAATAAAAAATATAAGCATTAAATGCTGTACAAATTCTGATAAGTTAGTCTGGGATAACTATCGTTTTTATGCAACACTTAGTATAAAGATAGTGTTTTTTGCAGGAGTTGGTATAAAGATAGTCTGGAACTTTTGGTCAAGTAGGTTACAATGGATTTATGATGTACTTGGTATTGTTATTTTCAATATTGAGTGTTAATCACACAAATTCACACTTGATATTTTCCCTCACCGACACCACCTTTACGGGATTTTAATCTACAAAGTTATGCAATACCATACCCATACATTGGATATTACCATAATCACCAATAATATTCCACAGAAGATATACACATTTCGAGACAATCATACATTTGATTCCTACAATATATTTCATGTCTTGCAGAAAAAATAGAAATTAAAAAAAATAAAAAATAAAAATAAATAAATAAATAAATAAATAAAACACACACACACAAAGATAAAAAGAGTACCTCATACTTTCCCTGCAGCTGCTCTTCAAAAGTCAAAAAGCTTCAGATCCTAAGTACCAAGCAAATATTGAAGTGATTCAATAATTATAAAAAAAAATCAACCATGCATGGAACAAAACTTAGAAATTAAACAATTATCAAAGCTTGTGAAGAATGCTAAATCCAACAAATTCTAAACATAAAGTAACCCGAAGGAGATAAAACCCTTTACAGAAAATATCCAATATCCAATATCCAATTAACCTAATTGTATTCAAACCTAGCAAATCTCCATTGAATTAAGCACAGTTCGCACTAAATTATCCATCTTTTCTTTTCACAGTAAATTAATGATAAGACCATGAGCATGTAAGTCTGGACCACTACGACCAAAATTCCAGCAATCAATAACCATAACTATAAATTTTGACTAACTTAAAATTGCTACAGTGTTTGACAATGATCAGACAAAAACTGAATCTTTTGTGGAGCCGCAGATATTCAATCAGAAAAAATGAATAATCGAATTAGTTGACTAAATTTATGGAAGAAAGAGAGAAGAGGGGAATGGAGGAGAACAGCAGCAAGGAGACGAAATCAGATTCAGAGTTTGAGAGTCAATTGCTAAATTTGGATGAACTGACCTATTCGATGTGAAACAGGCCATCAGCTACCCCAGCAATCTCTCGATCACCGACAGTTGGAAGCCTAAATTAGTGGGTAGCTGTCAGATCTCACTCACTCTCTGCAGGCATGGGCCTCCTCCTCAATTTCCGTCATCTTCCTCTCTGCGCTCTCTCTCTCTCTCTCTCTTCCAAAGGAGCCGTTTCCCAGGCCCAAATGTAGCGGCCCAATCGGGGTGTTTTGGCCGAAGCACATCCCACACACACAATGGCAGCTTTGTAATTAAAGCAAAATAGAGACCCCATTCCATAGGCAACATGAATAGTGCCAATTCGGAACTCTACTTTAGACTAAAGTAATTAAAAATAACATCTACAACTCTCTTACAAAACACAATCTTAATATGGTATCCTCAAAAGAATTAGTATCCAGACTCAAATCAGCATGCAAGTTGTCGCCAACAAGTAACCAGTTGCAAATATTCAAGAGTCATTTATAGTTAGCAAGCATAGATGTAAAAGACTCAAATCAGCATGCACGTTGTTGCCAACAAGTAACCAGTTGCATTTCCTGTAAAAACAAAGAATAAACTGTTTCAACATTCAAGAGTTATTCATAGTTAGCAAGCATACATGTAAATACAAAACCAACAGTTGCATTTCCTTACTACTAACCTTTGGGCCTCTTGTGGTTTTGTTTTGAGTGCAAGACTGATTCGCATCCTTCCTCTCCCACATGGCCTGCAACCGAGAAAGGCAGTGACGCCACAGAGAACCAATGGACTGAAGCTTATTGTAGTGAACTCTATATGTTCAGAAGTTCCATATTAACCTACACAGTACGGTATATATCAATGATGAAATAGTTGTTTGTCGCAATTGAAATGATCGAACTATTGTGATTTCAAGGTTCCTATTACTAAGGAAGTTACAGACTCTCTAAGAGCATCTTTATTTTCATGCAGGCTTGATATAAAGGCAAGAAACATGCTTAGAGACACACTCATTAAATTCTTGCTTATAGCTTGGGAATCATATTTGTTTTCACATATCTCGGTGGAAATGAATCAATACTATAGTAAAAGTATCAAGTTACACATTGTACGTCGACAAAGAACAATTCTTATATATTTGCTTACAGCATGCATGTTGTTGCCAACAAGTATACCGTATGATATTGCTTCCACTTAAAAATACAACAAAGCATCAAAGAATTTGCAAAAGAAAAAACAAAAACACCAGCAGAAGACTCAATTTATAATCGGCTTAAGAGTGCGTACCACATTGAACCATTGTAGGTATAGAGACCAAATTATAACCAAAGTTTGAAAATGCCTATACCAACACATGAGTGGAATTAGGAAAAAAGAAAGGCAGGATTTGGCAATTACATATGTAAACATAATGTGATGTTAAACCTAGACAAATCTTCCAATCTGAAAACAAACAAAGGTAAACAAGTGAGTATTAATTATATTTTCCAGCAAAGAAAAAAAGAAAGAAATGTTAAATAGCATTGCCAAGTATATCATCTAGAAGGAATTGAAGATACGAAAACTTCTATGAAAGAATTGAACTTTGGCAGTTCAGTGAAAAGCAACGGTATCTATAAAACAATAAAACCAAGCATATTATGCAAAAGTATAATCTTTAGGGAATATGTATCAAATCCTTAACTGGAGGTCATTACTGCTCTGTACCACAACAAAGATGAAAAAGAGTTTCAATGAATTATTGGGGGGTCAACATCGTCTTTCTGTAAAGTGATACACGACGAGGGGTAATCAATGTGTTAATCAAAAGTGGAGACACTCACAAAGCAGATAGATATGAAGCCCAATTGCTCTATTGGTATGAAGTTGGGAGTATAAGTCTATCCCCAAAAGCCGACGCACCTGCTCAAGTCAAATGGTTAACCCTGTTCTCCCGCGTTCTCATTGGGCATCCATAACCCCACAATAACTAGGTCATGACCTACATATATCAATATTCACAAAGGGATAAGCATACTTCAAAATGAGGAAATCGCAAGGTGATAACTAGAAAGCACCTTCAGAAACTTTGCAGAAATCTGATGATTAAAACTCACAACTTTAATAAACTGGGCAAACTAATGCTGATATTTGTAGGATTGTTGACCACGTACATAAGCCCAAACTAAGCAACTCTGACGAGTATAGGAGCCAGCTGCCAGAGACAAACATACAGTGAATCATAGTGATATGAACCATCAACTAAAAGAAGTGAAGAATGAAAAACAAACTCCTGAGTTTTGCCCCTTCCCTTATTTGCTCCAATAAATTGTGCAAGATAAATGAGATGTACCCCTCTAAATGTTATAAATTTGTAAAATTATAAGGCATGGTACATTTTCCCCGAATTACTAATAAACAAGCTCCCCTTTTCGGGAAAAAAATGAAAACAAATAAACAAGTTTCTCTTTTAGTTGTTAGATTATTATTCTGTTCAAATCTATTTTGTGCTCCTAATAAGTAATAATTGAAACAATAAGTGAAACCCACACGATTTTAGGAATGAGAAACAAGCTTTTGTTTGGAGAAATCACAACTAGCATCTTTAAGGTTATCGCATTTGATAAATGAGTTTTTTTTTCTTTTTTTTTGAAAAAAAAAGGTACCAAGCAGCAACCCAAATATCCAAAATAAATTCTTAAATTCAAATTGAATGTTTTAAGAATTAATCCCAAAGGCCAAAGGCAATTCAAAGATAACCAATTAGACAGGAAAGAAATTGAAGTTACAAGAATTACCTTTAGCATGCTAGATGAAATGCCATTTAAACTGTCAATTCCAAGAGAAGACATTGAAGAGGCAAATCTTAACCACTATAAATCTCAAGCCATTGAAGCAGCCACATCATAAACGTCTTCAGAGCCAGATGCCTCCACAGATCGATCAGTTTCTGAAGTAACGTCTGAAATTGCAATTAGGCCATCATCTACTTTCATGCCTTTGGCAACTTCATCAGAAAGTAATTCTTGCACTACTTTAGAAGATATCAAACCCAAACTTCTCATCTCAATCCATAGTTCAATAACTGAACTAGAAAGATATGGTCTACAGAGGAATTTTGATAATCTCAAGAAAGTATTGGAGCTCAGTTCTACTTTTGCTTCTATCATCTCTTGTAGCAGTAAATTAACCATATTAAGATCTCTTTCTTTAACAAAACCAGAGACCATTACATTGTATGTATGTACAGTAAGAGCCAAGCCGACTTCCTTCATCTGGCAATAGAGTGACCAAGCCTCTCCAGCTCTACCACCCATAAAGAGCCCTATAATGGCAACTGTGTATGCTGCAACATCAAGGGTGTAGCCCTCTTCAACTGCTTTTCTAAACACTCTAATGGCCGCATTAAATTTACGGACCTTTATAAGCCCATCCATGACCACAGTATGAATATAAGCATCCTGTCCAGGGAAACTCTGGAGAATCCCATGATACGCATCAACTGCTTCATCAACTCTTTTTGCCTTGCATAACCCATCTACTAATCCAACAAAAGTATACTTATCTGGGTAAGGCCATTATCAAGCATATCATTATAAAACTTTACAGCAAGAGACGGAAACTTGGCTTTACAAAAATAACAGAGAAGTGAGTTACATAGCAATAAGTCAGCTTCTATGTCAAGTCCACGAACCAACTTGGGTAACATATCAAACCTCCTAGACAAACACAAGGTAGATAATAATGAAGAGACAGTACAAGAATCAGGAGCCAAGTTCCGTGATCGCATGCTAACAAAAACATTAATGGCATCATCACACCTCCCAGCTTTGGCAAAGGAGTCTATTAACACATTACAAAGAACGAGGTCAGGGGCATATCCTTTGGATTCCATAATATTTAGAATATTGAATGCTTCACTAACCATATTAGATTTTAAAAATCCCCTGATTAAAGTCGTGTACGTTACAATACTAGGAGAAGAACCAGTCTCAACCATCTTCTCCAATAACTTACCAGCCACATCAAGTCTCTGCAACCGACAAAACCCATTCATCAACATACTCCAAACATTTACAGACACAGCAATACCCAAAGTAATCAATAGACCCAAAACTTGATGCGCCTCCACTATTTTACCCATTTTGCATAAACAGCTCAAAATCATCTCAAATGTCTCCACTTTGGGGCTATATCCCCATTGCAACATCATTCTAAACACATCTCCAATGTGATATAAATCATTGATATTACATAAATTACAGTGCAATGTTAAAAGTCAAAAAATTTGGCCTTCGGGTCTCTTTCAGAAACTTAATAGCTAAATTCACATGCCCAATTTTGAACAACGCATCAATGATTATGTTACGAGCAAATGTGTTTGGAGTAAAGCCATAAGTACCCATTAGCTCAATAGCCTCAAAGACCATTGTATACATTTCGCCACGCCAATAAATCCTCAACAACAGCAAAAATGTTTGAGATTTTACAACACACCCCATGCTCTCTAGTTCCCTAATAACCAATTTAACGGTTCTGTATTGTTCCATCACGCGCTTGATCACACCAACCATGTGATCAATCACAATCTTATTGTGAAAAAAATTATGTTGTCCGGCACACCACAAGAAGAATCTCAGTGCAATCAAATCAGAAGGGCAGTTCAATAAAGTGGAATGCACATCTTGATGATTGAGTTTACTTGTTTGTCGGTCAAAAAGTTTCGGGAAATTTTCCTGGGTTTTGTTAGTTGGACACATCTTTGGCGATGAAAAGTGGCAGATAGGCAGCATGCGCAGTGCTCTGATGATTTGGGTTGGCCCTCTGTGTAGAAAACAATACCTAAATCTCCATACTATTTCCATGAAAGTTCAACTTTTCCTGCAATGCAATGCAATGCAATCTAATACTAGGCACCAAAAGAGCCCTAGAGTATTGGCATTTTAGGTTTCAAGTGATGAAACTGATATCTGACCAGAACGGCTCCTAAGTTTTAGCAGATAGAGACACATGTAGGGAAAAATCAAATTAAGGGTACTTACTTTCATCTGCTTGCCACTCATCATAAACCCTGGATTACTGCAGCATGTATGAATGAATTAGCTGAAGAATAAAAACCCATTTGGCCTTTGGGATTTGGGAACCAAGCCTCCAAATACACCTGCAACCCACCACCCATACAATAAATACTGAATAAAATAAACACACCACATTTAACATGGAAGCAGCAGCCGCAACATATAATCAAAAGCAGACAAGTACCTGAGGAGGAGGGTGCGTCGACTGGAGATATAAAATGGAGGTGTGGAGAAAAACAATTAACAAAACCCATTGCTTCTCGGATTCAATCATTCTCTCTCTCTTTATAATAAAAATTAAAACAATAATATAGTTTGTGATCAATAAATCACGTGATTAAAGATATAAAAAGAGTGATTTGTCCTCAGTTGTATAGTAGAATTTTCAGTAAACTCCGTGTTAATAATGCATAAAGTAAAAAACTAGATAGATGGTTCATAATGTGTTTACCAAATTCGTCTATCTATTTTTTACCGTGTGAATTACGAGCTTAGAATTTCTTCATCTCGCTCTTTTTTTCAAGGAGGTTCATAATGCTTTTAATAAAATTTCGGTTCGATTTAGAATTTCAGAATCTCATCCCAAGAGAGATTTGTTCGAGATTCATGTTACCATTTTTGGATCAGGATCCCGATCCGAACCACCCCCAACTCTATCGGTTGCCCAATTGATCGGGAAATTAGGTCAAATTGCCCTTGGTTCCAAAAAAAAAAAGTGGTTCCAAAAAAAAAAAAAAAAGTGGTCTACAAGTGCAAAAATGGAGAGCAATTGGGCCAAGGGCTTGGTCCTTTCAGCTGCCCTTGCAACTTGTGTATGGGCTTGCACCCTACAGAAATGGACTGATTGGGGCCCCGCATGTGCACAGCCAGAGCCAACTGGCTCATTTTTCCATCAAGTTGAGTTGTTAGATTTCCAACAATAAAACAAATTTGTAATTTTTTCTGCAACTGCCATGTGGTGCAATCTGGGGTATCCAACATAAAAAATCTTGAAAGTCAACAACCAGAATTATTCTAAGGAAAAAAATAAAAATAAAACCAAAAAAATACCCAATTTTTTTTTCTATACATACCCAACCACCTTCTCAATGGTTGAGGAAGCTCCTCAATTGACTTCGTGGTCAATTCATAAAACTTCAAACTTTTGATCAGATCGTTAATGTTATAAATCACTCTACAAAAATAATTTTTGCAAAAAATTAATAAAATCTGAGAACATTTAGTCATCAAACTACACAAAAACAAATGAACAAAGTTTTGATATTTACAAAGTGGTTTATAATATAAATAGCTCTGATAATAAGATCAGAACCTCGTCCATCTGTTTTTGTATAATTTGATGAATAAATTATCTCATATTTTATCAATTTTTTGCAAAAATAATATTAATAAAGTGATTTATAATGTTAATGACTCCGATCATAAGGTCGAAATTCTATGAATCGGCTATGAAGTGAATAGATGAGCCTTCTCAACAATGAATGAGCCAAGTTAATACCTCTCCCTTTCGTGTTAGCTTTATTTCGAAATGGTACCGTCTGAAAATGACAATAATGCCCCTCAAAGTTTGATCTTTTGGTCAAATCCCCCTTCAAAGTGTATTCTTTTTCTTGTAACGGAAGGAAAAAAAAACTCAAACTTTTGATATAGGAACGGGAGTGATTTTTGCATTCTCCCTCTTTTTTTCCAAGACAACAACAAAATAAAAGGTGCCGTGAAAAAAAATAACGAGACTATAAAAACCACCACCCAAAAATTTAATAAGATTTGTGTACAGAGAGTCATGGTGAAGAGTTGCGTATCCATCAAAGCGGAGTAGGTTGAACTTCCCTATGATTTATGGCTGTATTGAAGCATGGGAACTCTTTAGGATGTGTTGCCTCTTGGTCTTGGAGATCCATGGACCATGGTATTAGTTTTCCATGAAATTATGTTCATCGGACCTTTGATTTAGAGTGGTGCTCCACAAATCTTATTTTTACTTCATACATTGATTTTTATCCTCTGAATTACTTTAATTCATTTGATATGGCACTCGAAAATTGAAATACATGTATGAGAGGTAAAAAATGGTGTGTGTATAGCAACACCCTTGATTTATTCTTTGACATGTTTATTTCATTCAATTTAATTAGAAATGAGACATAAAAAAGAACAATATTTGACTACTTAAAGAATAAGTAGTAGTTCCTACTCAAAATAAATTGATTTATAGAACCCAATTTTTATAATTAGAATCATTTATATTATAAATCATTCTATAAATATCCCTTTTGCCAAAAATCAATTAAAACTAAGGTGATTTGGTCGTCGAACTGTATAAAAACAAATGAACGAAATTAGTAAAATCATTATGAATCGCCTATGTATTTGCTAGAATAGATTAATTAAACGACCTTAATTTTAATTAATTTTTTTTTACAGAAAATGATATTTACAGTGTGATTCATAATATGAACAGTTTTGATCATAATCACAAAGTTTTGTGATTCGAGTACGAAGAATTTTGAGTAAGAATTCATACTCATCTTTGAGTAGTCAAGCATTGTTCCATAAAAGATTAAGATTTTTAAATGGATGAGAAAGAACACCCTCAGCCTCTCAATTCTGCGGCGGATTGGTTTCCAGATTGACCGGAAGTGTCCAGCTCTTGGGTTCTCTTTTGATGTCATTAATGCACGGAATCTGGCGTAAAAATTGGTTTTCTCCATTGTTTCGAAGTGGGCCCAAATTGCAGCGTATTATATTGCCAAATAATAGGTGAAAGAAAGTGAAGGGACTCTAGAGTGTATGGTAGGTCGCCACCCCCTTGTCCTGGAGGCTATCCGAGTAGGGAGGAGCTTGCTGTCTTAACCCCTTCTCCCGGTGTATTTGAAAAAGAGTGACGAACCCATTTTTTTTAGTTGTTCATAGGTTGGTGAAAAGAATGAGTCGACTTCCTTAAGTCCGTTGTTTATCAGTAGCCCAATGGTAGAGCGATCAGCTGTTAAACAACTGGTTGTATTTTTCGATTGCTTGTTCAAGAGCTACGACCTTTGGCTCTATAACTGAACCGTTTCCTTGTATCTGAGAAGAACTTCCAGATTAATAGGAAGGAAGGAAGCTTAATCAGAATGGAACAAATCAAAATTTTTCTTCTAAGATCAATCCGTATAAACATCAACTTCAAATTGGATTAGTTTCTTTTCACCGAATAAGTGCTTGGGCCAAAAAACCCAACCGAATGGAGAAATAGTTGGAGAGGAGGCAAGTCCTGCTAGCGTATCTCTATTTTCATTTCCTTGCAGAGGTGTGATATCCACATCTCTTTTTACTTTTCACACTCTTTTAATTTTTGGTCATCGGATCGGATGAATTGAAGAACTTCGCCGTGTAAGTTTATCTTACATTGCCGGTCCCAAGCCCGGATAAAGGAGGAGGGGGAGGGCGTCAGGTAGTCGACAGCCGGCACTCCATGATCACGTCGAATCCTTATGAAAATGAATCCAGAACGAAATCGCGCTAAAGCTAGGGCGTCACCCGTAAGTGGCGCGCTGTGTGGCCCGAGCACAGTGATAAGTGAGCAAGGGTCGCTGTATCTCCATCGGCACCCGGATGCAGTGTTAAATGAGCAAGGGGGCTATAGAAACTTCTTTTCGAACGACTCCACTCAAAGTTGTTTGGGAGCATATGCTTCTATCAACTTTACACGGGACACACAAAAGAAGTACTTTGATCCTATTAGACGGGGAAGGGTGAAGAAGCTAGGACAGAAGGGTAGAGTTCAAGAGAGCAAAATGCGTTTAGGAACGTGGAATATAGGAACCTTGACGGGAAAATCTATGGAAGTAGTAGAAGTTATGGTGAGGAGAAGGATAAATATTATGTGCCTACAAGAAACTAAGTGGGTTGGTCGTAAGGCAAAGGATCTAGAAAACTCAGGGTTTAAACTATGGTATTCGGGCACAAATAGAACGAGAAACGGTGTTGGCATCATCGTGGACAAGACCTTGACACAAGATGTTGTAGATGTCAAGAGGGTAGGAGATAGAATCATGGCAATCAAGATTGTAATAGGACAAGAACTTATCAATGTGATTAGTGCGTACGCACCTCAAGTAGGGTTGGATACGAGTTCGAAGGAGAAATTTTGGGAAGACCTTGGAGACTTGGTGCAAGGAATTGCTCAGACAGAGAAGTTATTTATAGGAGGAGATTTAAATGGACATGTGGGCAGGGAGACAGGCAACTATGGAGGTTTTCATGGTGGCCATGGTTTTGGGGAGAGAAACGAGGATGGGGAAGCTATCTTGGATTTTGCAATTGCATATGATCTCTTCTTAGCCAACACCTTCTTTAAGAAGAGAGAAGAACATGTGATCACCTACAAGAGTGGGTCGTCAAAAACACAAATAGATTTTCTTCTAATGAGGAAAGGGGATCGTATAACTTGTAAGGATTGCAAAGTTATACCAGGAGAGAGCGTGGCTAATCAACATCGCTTGTTGGTGATGGATGTACATATCAAAAGAGTGAGAAAAAAGAACAAGACTTGGAAGTGCCCAAGGACTAGATGGTGGAATCTAAAAGAAGAAAAACAAGCCATTTTCAAAGAGAAAATAATCACCCAGTGTGTGTGGGATAGAGAGGGGGAAGCTAACCAAATGTGGGATTCCATGGCTAGTTGTATCCGAAAAGTAGCAAAAGAGGTATTAGGAGAGTCCAAGGGCTTTGCCCCACACCAAAAGGAATCTTGGTGGTGGAATGAGGAGGTACAAACAAAGGTGAAAGCTAAGAAGGAATGTTGTAAAGCCTTATACAAGGATATGACCGATGAAAATGGTGAAAGGTATAGAAAAGCGAAGCAAGAGGCGAAGAAAGCTGTGAAAGAAGCTAAGTTAGCGGCTTATGACGATATGTATAAGCGACTAGATACCAAAGAAGGAGAGTTGGATATCTATAAACTAGCTAGAGCAAGGGAAAAGAAGACAAGGGACCTAAACCAAGTGAGGTGCATCAAGGATGAGGATGGAAAGGTTCTTGCTACAGAGAACGCGATTAAAGACAGATGGAAAGGTTATTTTCATAATCTTTTCAATGAAGGACATGAAAGGAGTGCTTCTTTAGGGGAGTTGAGTAACTCAGAAGAGTGTAGAAACTACTCTTTTTATCGTAGAATCCGGAAGGAAGAAGTGGTTATAGCTTTGAAGAACATGAAGCATAGAAAAGCAGTAGGCCCAGACGATATACCAATCGAAGTGTGGAAAGTTTTGGGAGAGACAGGTATAACATGGCTCACTGACCTTTTCAATAGGATTTTGAAAACGAAGAAGATGCCAAATGAGTGGCGAATGAGCACTTTGGTGCCTATCTACAAGAATAAGGGCGATGTACAAAATTGCATGAACTATAGGGGTATTAAGCTAATGAGTCATACAATGAAGCTATGGGAGAGAGTTATTGAGCATAGATTGAGGCAAGAGACACGGGTTTCAGACAACCAATTCGGGTTCATGCCAGGGCGCTCAACCATGGAGGCAA